TTTGTGGTCAGAACGTTGGCATTGAAAAATCGGCCGGTGCCGATAATATGCGATTGTAAAACACTCTCAATCATTAAAACCATATTTTATGAACTTTTTTTGCTAATTGTCATCAAGTTTAACTTTTTATATTTTATAATAAATACAAATCTAATCGCACTCAATAACCGCGCCTTTTTCGTTTTCTTTGTTTGTTTTCATTTTTAGGCAGATGTCAAAAACGCTCAGAAATTTACTTTTTTCATTCTTTTCCGATTGCGTGATCTTGTTAGTTGGTTCATGGCTTAGTACTATACGAGTGCCATTCAAAATCTTTAATCTCGATTTGTTATAGTCGTGCAGAGCATAGAGTCCAAATGAAAAGGTTCAGCCGAACTAGCAATGGGCTGTTAATAATGCCTTTAATTCTTTTATTTATTATTTCTTTTTTACCTTTTCTTCATTATTTCGAGCTGTGTAACCAATTGTCTGTGGTATCGAAAAAATTGCTTTAGATTTTCCATGCTCATGTAGTGTTGGTATTTAATGATTTTTTATAGCACTCATGTGTGATGTTATTAGAGGTCGATTTAACATTATGTAGGTGAGTTGAGTGAGCATGAGAGAGACGTTGAACAAAGAGCGTGTGGATCAAGAGTTCGATTGTGTGAGTTACAGTATGCAAAATAGTATCTGATGAGGTTTCTAGAAGTAAGAGAATACATAGTATGGGAAGACATATGGTTGTTTCAAAATACCAAACTCTACAGACATTTTCCGTCTAAGACGATTTCTATTACCTATACATACATGGTTATACTATGCTGATTCTAATAATTTTTTCCCAATATTATGACGACAGGAGCGATTGAGGTTCTTCGAGAGGTCAACTTTTTTGTGACGCATAGCTCAACTCTACCAGTTCCAGGCACACCCCCTGCCATTCTATGTATTCCTGGTTAGGGTTGCTAGATACAAATCGGCATCTGGACATTGGAACAAAACTGCTGAACTCTTTTCATTTAGCTGAAAATTTTATATCTTACAGGAGAACCAAACATTTTTTTTAATTTACGGTGGAAATGCTTGCAGAGCTAGAGCTGCTTTAACGATGCCAGTATATCCCGAATTTATTAAGATATGACTTTTGAATGTAGATTCGGAGATCTATTTTATTGCAAACTAATAAATACATACAGTGGCGAAAATCTAAATAGGAAGGCGACATTTTAGCATCCTTTTAGCATTAAAAAAAACGTGCTAAATTTAAAACAAATACGCATATGAAAGAGCACCAACCCAACTAGTTTTAAATTTGAGTATGTACGTTATAAAATATGTCGTTGTGAAGTGCACAGATGCTTTTTCGTAATTAAGAAGGAAACAAAAAAATTATTTTATGTTCCGGGCCCTCTTGGCAGCAACCAATTGTATCAAGCGTCTTTACACACTCAGCAACGGCCATACATGTAAATGCGTTTTCAAATGAGGACCATTTCGGGCATAGTTCACGACTAGTTTAGGATCATTTTGGGCCTAGTTCTGGGTCATTTTGAGACTATTTCAGGGACATTTCGGGTCGGTCTTGTTCGCGACTATTTCAGAAAAATTTTGATACTCTTTCTCTGGGATCCTCGATTTTATCGGCTTTCCTGATTCGTCGGTTTCGCCAAAACATTTGGTTTTTCGATGAATCTATTTAGGTTACTAATGGTAAATTTGGATATCTCCTTAAGATTTTGGATGGAAAGACTCCCGAGTGTGTCATGTCTTATTCGTGTCAATGCTGGGCACTCGCAAAGATAGTGTAAGATTTTGGATGGAAAGACTCCCGAGTGTGTCATGTCTTATTCGTGTCAATGCTGGGCACTCGCAAAGATAGTCTTACTTCCCTCAAGATTACATCCATGGCACTTGTACGGTAGGTCCATTTCAGCTGCATGTTTGCCAATGGGCTATAAATTTGACAATCCCTGACCTCTTTATAAGTTCTTCTGTCTTTGGCTTCTCATAATGCGTTCTTCGCAGTTTTGCAGGTTTGAAGGTTGTTCCAACGTTTATCAGTCATACATGCGAATTGCAGCTGCAGTTCCTTTTTGTTGAGTACGAGTGGACAGTTTATTGTCTCTGTTCCGTACTCATCAAAAGATGTACCGGCCTTAGTCAGCTCATCAGCCCTCTCATTTCCATGTATGTTCGTACGGCCGGGAACCCAGATGAGAGAGATATTTATTTCTGGACTAGTTCAGAAACATTTCGGGACTAGTGCGGGATCATTTTGTGGTTAGTAAGGGCCCATTGTGGGACCATTTCAACACTTGTTTTAGATCATTTCGGGAAAACCTCGCATCTTTTTCAGAAGCAGATAAAAGAGCAAATTTCTCTATTCATTTCTACGATTTCTTTCGTTGTTGCTGTCTCCATACCAATAGATTATGGCGAATAAGTATTATACATACTTTTATTCCTCCAAGGTTTCTTTAATGCCATTACTTTCACTATCTTAAACCCAATGCGATTCGATAAAGTATAACAGCGATAATTTTTTCACAATCACTCACATATTAATGCGTACAAAGGTTGCCATTGTCAAAAGCCTAAAGACAGTGTCATTTGATACCACAAAATATCACACAAATCAAGCCAACCACGTACATAGATATTTCAGAAATTTTTTTTATGCTGTGAATGCATTTGAATTACCTACCAACGAACAAGTGTGTGTTACTATTTATGTAGCTTGTGAAATTATTTTGTCCTTTCCCAACATTTACTATAAAAGTACATATACACATTTTGCTGTAGCCTCTTATAAAGTGCCATTTCTTGTACTTATTTGTATGTTACTCATGTTACACACGCTTGCTTGATCAGTGCGACCAATCGCTAGTTTGCTCGCCAGCCAATGAGCTACATGCATAGAAGCAGCGCGCGCGTAGAGAGATTGTACGATTTGATAAATTGAAATGCGTTTTTTTTATAACGAACACATCCTGTTCTCCAAGCGTTGCGAGTTATACTCTATTCTATCTAAGTATCATTCAAACGTTGTGTAGTTATGCCGTTTTGTGTATATGTACATTGAGAATTTGTAATTTATCTTCTACATATTTCGCTTTTCAGAGTGGCAGGACGTATTTGGAGCCATGTTCTTTGTACATGCATAGATATTGTAGGAATTTTCAGTTTATTTTTTCCATGGCTTTAACGTTGCAGAGAAGAAAGTATTTTCATATTATTGATAATATTTAGATTCACATTTCCATGAACTTTTGAATTTGAAATTATCCTCTATCCAATGACAGTCGCCGTAACTCGCAGATCGCAAAGAGAATCTTCAAATCAACTTTAGCCGTACTAAGTGAAGGAATTTTAACGAAAATTTCCTAAAATTGTTCCTGGGTTTCTCAACGCTATATTTCTAGGCATGACGTACTTTCATCGCCATTGTCTCTTGAATCATCAACTTTTTTTTCAAATACTTTTCCAAGACACATTGAATTTATTTACAATTTTAAGAAATGAAGAGACATACAGTTTTACGCCGCCTACGAATGGAGGTTTACCATTGCCTGCAGGGGGGTGACCTCTGTTAGAAAAAATATTTCTAATTTAGAATTGCTCGTTTAACGTAATAAGATTTACTATATAAATATTATGCCATTTTGTCACAAACTCACTTTGTTAAATCTGAGCGTCAAAGGACCTCCTACAAATACTCACGCAGTTTTCTCTAACCTGCTGATCCAATTAAAGTAGTTACAAAGCAAGTTGCTTCAGTTAAAAGTTAACAATGTTTGTGTTTAAATGCAAGCGAATCCAAAAAATAAACTTTATATCTACTTACATAAGTTCTCACTGCTGTCTGCTTTTCAATAACTATAGGTACATAGATGCACCCGCATAATCTGTAGCACTGTTTCTGTTCTTCTTGCATTTAGTTATGTGATTTCAAATCAAAGCCAAGCAAAAAAAGCTATAAAGGTGTTTCCAATTGTGTCATAAATGCGCCACAGGTGGCAAGAGGCGACTCTCCCTCCCTCTCTCTCTCACTGGCAACCTGCCTTTTTTTTTGTTCGTCTCACGATTCATCTGTTCACCGCAGGTATCAATTGTTAAATACAAATCTGACAGCTGTGTACACCTATGAAGCTGTGATTTTTACATTGTTTACAATTTAATGCTTGTTGCTGTTTTTCAAAATGATACCCACACAGTATGTAAAGTGAAATTACAAATTACAGAAAGGAAGAAGAAAATTAAAAAATCTGTTCTGAATTGTCTCCGCAGACTTTTATGTGAGACATCTTTTAATTTATGACTGTTTTGTGTTGCAAGGGGAATTGAGTACAAATGTTATTATGTAGCTGAATTACAAGACATGTGCAGTTTGTGTTGATTTTGAGAAACGCATCTGAGAAAATTTCAACTCTATATACTCCCAAGTGTTTAGAAATTATTTTGGTAAATGCTTCAAAAGTATGTACATGAGACCGTACAGTGGTCGGAGAGGCAATGTTTTACGCGAAAAAGGCATATTTTAGAATTGTGATAAATTAACCGGAATAAAGTTATTCTTATTCAGAAATGTCCAACGAACCGAAAACTGATTAGTATTTTCAATAATATTTATCTGCTGAGCAAGCGGTTGGATCCGCTTAATTCAACGAATCCAATCGTGGCACGTTCTAACAGTTATGTGTTGATAGTTTTCTTAAAATTTTTTTTTTTAGAGGTTCCTAGGTTCTCTTATTACAAATGCAAATTCCAATATGGCGTCCAAAATTTCCATAAATTCAAACCTGAAAAACTTTATTTAAAAACTGAAGGTTTTGAAAGGACGAATTTTGTATCAAATGAAAAAAAAATCTTAAAAAACCTATTGGGGCCTAGGCCAAATTGTTTGGGCTGCACA